TGTTACGTGGTTTATTATCCTTCGAGAACTTCTAAGGAGTGTGTATGATAATAATAATAATGGATAATAATTATTTTTATCGGTCGATATTTTGTTATATTTGTTTATTTAAAATACGAATTTAAAAAAAATTGACATTTTAAAATTTTAATTAACCGTCACTTTTCATTTTTGTATGAATTCAAATAAAAGCAACTACTGTGTTTTTCTTTCTTTACTAAAATCTCGAAATTGTTTGTAGATCTGTACGGTTAACTGTTTGTTCGAGTTTGAACAGGCCTTGCAAATTTTTTTTATTTATTTTTGTTTTTATTTTTGTTTATTTGGTTCATTCAATTTAGTTGATTGATTGATCGGTTGATTGATCGGTTGATTGATCGGTTGGTTGATTGATTGACTGACAGACTGACTGACTGACTGGCTGGCTGGCCGGCTGGCTGGCTGGCTGACCGACCGACCGACCGACTGATTGATTGATTTATCTCATAGTATTGTATACATGAGAAAAAATCCGATTAAGCCAACCTACGGCTTCAGTAAGCCACTGTTTTTCACCTGACAAAAGCAATTTCTATATTTATACTGACAAAAATAATTGTGATATGAATATATTGATTTATCTAAAGCATTATATGTACAAAAAAGTGCTATCGTAAGAGTTCTATGAAACCCTGTAAGCCACTGCTGTAAGCCAACGTATGATCGATTAGTCCTATTATTCTAGTTATGTGGTTTGGAGCAAGGGGAGACATTACTGAAAATAATTAAAAGTTGAAAAATTGAGGTTCTTTGCATATCCCTGCTTCAACCCATAAGAAGGTGTTGTATGCTGGTAAATAGGCCTCCCCTTGGATCAAATAATTACAATAAATTTAGTTGAATTATGCGTTCCATCAACGTTATCTTATCTATCTAGAGTTTTCCGTTCTCTATAGCTCGTTCCGAAAAGTCGTTAACAATTTTTTTTCGTTATTTGAGGTAATATGAAATTCCCTCGCCATTCATTCTTTCTTTGCAACTTGTTCACTCAAATTTGAATGAATTTCATGAAAAAAATAACCATACGCCGAACCAAACAACTTCACTAAATCTGCCATTTTCCCTAATTGCACCGCTTCTTCTCAAATTTGACACTGACAATTTTTTATTTGTTTCGTTTCAAATTTAATAAAAATAATTATTTAATTTTGCAATTTCAAAATTTTCGTTTCAATGTTATCGTTAATTGTGTATTTATCTAGAATTTATTTAATTTAAATTTTAAAGTTTTTCTTTCAGGTCGTTCGTCACGTTTGCAATGGGCTGCTACGAGGAGGTGGTCACCATTGGGAAGAAGTTGGAAAAGATGATTACAGGCAAAACCGTCGACGAAAGTCAGGGCTTGGACCTTTTGAAGTCTCTGAAAGCTCTGCCAATAACGTTGGATATCTTAACAAGGTCTAGGATTGGAATGACTGTTAATAACTTTAGAAAAACCAGCAAAAATGAGGAAGTTGGAACGCTAGCAAAGTCACTAATCAAGTACTGGAAGAAAAAATTAGCCTCAACATCCAACAACAGCAACAACAATAGTGAAGTTGGCTCCAAGTCTACTCCATCGCCCAGTTCATTGAAAAGAAGCAATAGTAGCTCATCCGCTGGGAGGGAAGATGATTCCCAAGATTCTCATCATTCAAGCAGTCCTAAATCCGACTCCTCAAACACACCGGCCAGCACATCATCTTCAACAACAACAACAACAAAATACTCGAGTTTACCAATCAAAGCCACTTCAACAACAAATGCAGTTCGTTTGAAGTGCAGAGAAATGTTGGCTTCTGCATTGGAGTCCTCGGAGTACAATGTTGACTTCAACATACTTGCTGCAGCCATTGAAGATTGCATCTACCAAGAATTCAACAACACCGAAGTCAAATATAAAAACAGAGTACGTAGTCGAGTACTGAACATTAGAGATGTTAAGAATCCTCAGCTGAAAATTGATGTTCTTGAGGGTGTCATACCCCCAGAGAAAATTGCTGTCATGACAGCTGAAGAGATGGCAAGTGCTGAATTGAAAAAATTGAGGGCACAGTTAACTAAAGAATCCATTGATGATCATCAGATGGCAAGCCAAGGTAAGTTACTGTGCCTATTATTTTAGTTAAGTCATTTTTTTCAAAATTTCAATATTTTAATTATATCACTATAAATTGTTTCTTCAATGTTATTGTTTCTTCCATAGGTGGCACAAAATCTGATTTGTTCAAATGTGGTCGATGTGGCAAGCGAGACACGACGTACAACCAGGTACAGACAAGAAGTGCAGATGAGCCGATGACTACATTTGTTCTCTGTAATGCGTGTGGTAACAGATGGAAGTTCTGCTGATCGAGAAGAGGATGTGTAGAAAGAAGAATGGCATGGGATGGAGTTGTTAATGGAAATTAAGTTAATCAATTAATTAATTAATTAACCAGGAAAATATTTAGATTGGGCATGAAAAAAATGTGAAGATGGTAATATGATGATATGAGAAAAATGAAGTTAAGTAACGTAATTTGGTAGTGTCTATGGCCATCAACTGTTGTTAATACCTCTTGTTTGATTGATTTGTGACTGAAAATTAGTGCTAATGATGGTTTGGCATCTAAAAATATGTTTGATTTTCTTTATTCATTTCATTCTTTTGCAACGGTGTCATGTATATTAAATGTTTGCGTATATGTATATGTATGATCTGTGTATATAAATAATTTTAAAGAACTTAGTTTTAATTTGTTAACTGGATAAGTAACAAAAAATATTTATTTCATAATAATCTCATGAAGAGTAATTTTTAAAAAAGAAAATTTTCGTCATAACGACTTTGTTGGTATCTATACATTCATTAATAAGAACTAAATGTGCGAATTCTAATTCTTTTAATTTTGTTGAATTTTAGTTTACTTACGGAGATTTCTTAATTTTAATGATAGTAATTTATAATTAATGATGACTGTGAAACAGTTTCCATTGTTTAATTTTATATTAGTGATTTTTTTATCCTAAAAAAATGAGTGTTTTAATGAGCCTTAATTCAATTATATCTCATTCACGGTTCAATGCTATCCCTCGCTAAACTAATTTTAACTCAATATAGATTGTAATATATATATATATTATCCTACGATTATACATAATTATTTATCTTTGCTACATCACGTGACCTATCGTCCATATAAAAGATAAAATTAGGATTTTGTTTTCGGTTGATTCATAGATTAGATTTCCTGCGTTATTTGGTTTGAAGTTTTGTGACTTGCAATTTTAGAAAATGGAAGCCATTGCAGATCAGTATAATGAAAATGACGCGAACGTAAATGCTGAGCCGCCGGGAGATGGCGACGATTACAACGTCCTAGAGTCCACAGAAAAATATGATGACCAGCCTAGTAATGTGAATAATAATAATGCTGAGGGTGACGATGGAGAAGGTGGAAATAATGATAATTACGAACAACAACAATATAATGAAAATGATCCTTTTCATCAAGAGACTACTGAGGTTTGATATTGAATTTTATATTATTTTACTTATAATAACTAAAATACTGCATAGTAGTTTCTCATTTTATATTATGGTTTTACTGGAATTTGCAAGGAAAACTAGACTATAACGTGCTTAATTCCCTTATTTTTTATAGGAAATAGTTGCAAGGACTGGTTACAATTTTGAGTGTACAACTGGTCAGAGAAAGTACGGTGGACCCCCTCCTAATTACGACAAATCTCCACCGGGTCCTGGAACAGAGGTGAATTTTTATTTTTTATTTTAATATCTATTTTGATAATAATAATTCTTAATTGAATTGCTTAGGTATATGTTGGTAAAATTCCTCAAGATGTCATGGAGAATGAGTTGATTTTGTTGTTCGAGCAAGTGGGTACTATATATGAGCTGAGACTAATGATGAACCCACAGAATAGCTTAAATAAAGGTTTCTGTTTCATAACTTATTGCGAGAAATCTGAAGCCCAAGCAGCTGCAGAAACTGTTAGTAGTGCTATTTCAGTTGCTTTCAAATTGTATATATTTTAAAATTTTTGAATAAAAATTTACGGAAATTTTGTAGTGAATATCTTCTTAATATTCATTTTCGACAGTATAATAATTATGAAATTCGACCAAGGAAATTTATAAAAGTGAATGTTTCCATACCAAACACACGTATCTATCTCGGTAATCTGCCCAAGTTCAAAAATAAGGATCAGATTTTTGAAGAAGTTTCTCAGTATGTTGGTTAGTGATGTCTAAATTCTTGCATTTTAAAAATATCAAAATTACAACGAATTTAAACGAAGATTGATTGATTGACAATTTTGAATTTTAAATATTATCATGGTAATCTTTTATATATTTTTCAATTGCTAAATATTTTTTGTCAACAGAGGGTCTTAAAGATGTGATAATTTACGACATCCCTGACGACCCCTCAAAGAAGAACAGGGGGTTTGCATTCCTCGACTTTGACTCACATAAGCATGCATCAGATGCTAAGAAGAAGTTGAGCTCAGAAAACATGCTGGTGTTCAACCACACATGCGTCGTCGACTGGGCTGATCCACAAGATGAACCTAATGATGAAGTTATGTCTAAAGTGGGTTTAGTCGCTGATGTTTACTTTTACTGTTTTTCATAGTTGTCTTAACATATTAAAATGTAATACTGGAATACTTTTTAATCATAACGTGAACAAGAAAAATAAATTTAAAATTTTCAAATTCGTAATCTGGTAACAGGTCAAAGTTTTGTACATAAGGAATTTAAAATCAAATGTTTTGGAGCAAGACTTGAGGACTCTGTTTGAACCATTTGGCAGTTTGGAGAAAGTGAAGAAAATTAAAGATTATGCATTTGTACATTACAATGAGAGAGAGGCAGCTATGAAGGCACTGGAGCATCTCAATAATACTGTATGTTGAACATTTGCTTTGATTTCTCAAAAGATAAACCATCCCATAATTACATGATTACATTACTGCTACACTACTACTAATTAAATTAAACAACAGACAATAAAAGACTCAACGATGAACATAACGTTGGCTCGACCTCCCATCGACCCGAAGGTCAAAGAGCAGAGGAAAATGCAACACAGGATGATGGCATCCTCTATTAGGTCAGGATTATTTAATTTAATTTAATTTTAAGTTTGTATATGAAAACAATTAAAATTTTGATTAAAGAATGTATGGATGGGTTGATTGATTGATTGACATTTTTTTAAACTCTATGCAGTCAAGGTACGTTTGGAGTGCAAGCCCTCATGCAGCCCTACCCCATGCCATCGAGAGGGGGAATGATGAACAGGGGAGGTTCCATGGGTGGCAGTGGAATGAGAGGTGCAAGAGGTATGTCTATGAGAGGCAATGCCATGAGGGGGGCTATGAGAGGCAGAGGTGTTCCTAATTCTTCTATTTGGGGTCCAGGTGGTCAGGGAATGCTTAGAGATCATACAAAAAGTTTGCTCTTACTGTATTGTCTCATCTTTTCTATAATTTTTTTACTTAGTGCATTTTCATTTAAAAGATTTCCATGTGCTTATAGAATGTGTTTAATTAATTTTTCAGCTGGCCCATACTATGACAATGATTACAGCAGTTATGAGGAGTTTGGCACAAATTTTGATGAATACCAGAATGATTGTTACGACGATGGTGGTGCAGGTGACGATCAGTATTACGATGATGGCAGCTATGATTACAACTCCTTCGATAACTACCAATCTTTTGGACAACTGCCATCTGTGCCTCCAACCATCTCCCAACCGAAACCACCACCCGTCAACAGAGGTGGACCTGCTAACATGAGGATGAAGAATCAGGCCCAGGTATGCTTCTGTTTTAGTTGCTTTATAAGTGGGTGTATGTGTTAACTTATTGTCAGAATTAATTTGTACAATGATGTGGTTGGCGTAGAAGTGATGTTTGGGAATCCCCATCACACATTTTTTAAAAATTCAGGTAAGAGGAGGACCCATAAGACCCAGCAGTTACGTGGCTTCTGGCTTGATGAATAGAGCCTCTGGTGGCGCAGGTAGCAACATGAACATGGGAAGGGGTGGTAGAGGGGGAAATCAGGCAGGTGGCAACAGGAGTGCAGGTGCTGCCAACATGAGAGGTGGTCCAGGAGGTGCACGTGGGAATGCCGTTGGTGTTCAGAGAGGTAGAGGAAGCAAACCTGGTGGACCCCCAATCAGAGGGGGTCGTGGAGGTGGTGGCAGAGGAGGGGGAGGAGGTATGAGTGGTCCACAAGGGATGACAGGAATGAAGAGGAAAAGTTCAGAGCCTCCAGTCTTTGGAACAGATCATTCAGCTAACAAGCAGGCAAAAATGCAAAATGCTCCTCAACAGCAGATGCAACAACAACAAAGACCCTTTGGAAATCCTGGAGTTGGTAATCAGAAATTTAGACAAGGTCAGCAGGGTGGCAAACCAGGAGGCAATAGGAAACCCCCTCCTGGAAATTTTCAAGGTGGCCCCCAAAACAAGCAAAGACCTCCTCAGCAACAACAGCAGCAGCAGGGCAACAAAGGCAAGCAGTCACAACAACAACCATTGAAGCCAAATTCATGGCAAACTCAACCAATTGTTCAGAAGCCATTGAGTCAGATGAGTGGATTTGGAGAGCAGTGGTTCTAATGACGTCGTTCTTCTTGATGACGTCACCATCACCAGTAACGTCATATGAGAATCATGTGTTATTGGATTGGTAAGTGTTAATTAGTGAATGTGTTCTTAGATGTGCGTGCGCGTGTTCGTTTGGAAAGATTTTCAAACAGGTCGATAATTACTCGGGGATGAGAATTACTTTTTTTCTTCAATGTATATAAATACAAAAAGATATTTTATCAATAAAGATTATTTTGTGCCCATCAAAAGTGTAGAAATGTTTCGTTTGTCACATTTTCGTTTTTACTCTTTAAATAAAATTTGACCTCGTGTCGATTGAAAAATAAAAATCATCTTTATGGCATGGACAAAAAATTGGTAGACAGTTTTTTAAAGTAAAAATCTATAAATTTGTATAACTGTTGATAACTTTTAGGACTGCAATCAACAACATTTGTGGATGACCAACTGATCCCTTACTCACCAATAAGCATGTTTAAAACTTAAAATTTCATTGTTAATATTCATTTTTTGACCATGAAGACGGATTCATCTTTTTTAATGTGCTACCAATATTAATTTAAATTTATCTTCGATATTTTCCAGCATATTTATATATGCACATGCGTGTGTGTATATTTATGTATGCGGGGATAAACGTGTATGTGTGCATATGCGTGCACGTATTTGTGTCTAAACTGTAAAATATTTAAATGATGTTTGACATTTTCAATATTTTTATGTAACTAGAAGATTTTTTAATGTGCTTTTATTTTAAAAGAAGTAAAAATTAAATTAATAAGAATAAAATTTTATGATTAACGAAATAATTCAGGATCAATAAATGTATTTTGTGTCCTTTGAAAAACTTTGTTTTGTTTTTTTTAGAGTTGTGAAAAAGTTTTTAGGCTTGTCAAATCGATCCCACGATGTTCAGAGCATGGTCGTAAATTTTTTAAGTTCTATTTTTAAAAGCTAAATCATTCAAGCCATTTTGTTACTCTTCAAAAAAAATTTGACCGTTTTTTTTTTGGATAAAAATTAAAGGAAATCCTTAAAAGTCAATGATGTACAAGACGTGTTTGTTGCATGCCTAACAATATTTTGTACAATTATTGTCTGTTTTTCAGTATTTAAATTTGTTAGTTTGATAATTTTGAAATCTTTTTTTTGGCCTAAATTGAAATAAAATGGGAGTAGTAGACAGTAGTGGCATGTTTTTGAAGAATTTTTCTCAAAATTTCATTGGAATTTTTGAAACTTCAGGAAGTTTAAATGCGTTTTTTTGCCTTATTTTTCAGATTAAGTTTTAGATTATTGTTGAATTATTAAAAGTTAAATAGTTAAATTTCTAAAGCTAGATGTTTCAAAGTTTAAATTTTGCTCCCTTGACTCGATGTTGGGCCTCGCGAATTCATTAGTAACCAAACATCGACGTGTGCGAACGACATATTTTTGAATTCAATGCACGTGAACCACTCCCCTCAATCAAAAAGGAATTTTTCAAAAAGAATTTCCAGTGGAAAAGTTTATTTTTTGAAATTTTATCGAATGTTTCATTTGCAAAAAAAGTAAAAACTTTTCTTTCTTGATATTTCAATCATTTTTCTGTTTTGTATAAAAAATAATTTTTCAGATTAACTTTTTTAATTTTTTTTCGACATTTAGAAATAAATTTTTGCTTTTTTAGGATTTAATTTTGAAAAACCAAGCTAAATTTTAAATTTATGTGGCTACTCACAGTTAGATAAAACTGTGTTAAAAAATTTTCTGGTGCAGACTTCCAATAAAATCTATTGTCTAAATATCCACCAGTTAAGATCCAGATGGCATTTTTTGTTCAAATTAAATGAAGTTTAAATTCATAATTCTGATAAATATTATATTTTAAAATATCACAATTGGCAGGCTTCTTATAACGACAGTAACGACTAAGAATCACGGACTCAACTGATATGATCTGTTTCTTGCTCTTGCTCACTGCGGTTCAATGCACCAAGGTCCTGGCCGTTTCGTCCTACCTGCCAAGCCAACACGTATATGATGAGCTAATTTACCTATCTATCTCATCATCATCTTCATACTCACATGATGTGATGACAATGATGGCCTGAATGAAATGCTATCTTGGAATATATCAATCAATATATAGTAATAGCAATTGGAATATAGTTCAAGTGCTTATCGAACTTCTTTCTGTATTACCTTTTTTTTATATTCAAATATTCGTTAATATTTTATAAAATAAAAGTTGATGAAGATAAAAAATAACTTCAATGTCTGATTTTTGTTCTGTAAAAGTATATGGCCGGTATAAAGGATATATTAAATTCCTGTCAAATAAATTTGACCAAATGTCATACGCAGGCAAACCTTAATAAAGAAATAGATAGATATACGTAGTTATAATACATTTATAATGCTATATTTACACATTCAAATTGTACTGTGTGGCGTTCGTACGTAAATTAACTACTGTTGTTTTATAATGGGTCTATAAAATGTAAGAAAGTTTCTAAGGATCGTTCAATTTAGCTTGATTGCATCGTTGTTGTTATTTGTTTAACTCTTCCTTTTTTCATTTCTCTTATACATACTTAATAACATTCACACATACATAGGCACATACATAATCACGTACAATAAATGTTTTTGATTTGAAAAAAACACGCCAGAGAAACCGACCTTGACTTTAAAAAAAATTTCAATTTAATTTCATGCACACAAGCATTCACACATACATACATGCTCACATACGTAACCACATACATGATGTTTTGGATTTAGCAAAAACACATCAAAGAAACCGACCTTGACATTTAAAAAAAATTTAAATTTCTTTCAAAATCTATGTTGATTATGATTCTACCAAAACATAGCGTTGCTGTCAGTCATTATACAAAAACATATCAAATGTAGCAGATCAAACGAGCCAATCAGAATTTCTTTTGTTGTCGTTGGATGAAATGACGTCATTTAAACTAGTTATTTAAACTGATAAGGTTCTTAGAAGTCCCATACATTTTATAATATAGCAAATAACCTGTGACGTCTCATGTGATGCCGTGTATGTGTGTGTGTGTGTGTGTGTGTGTAAAAATCAACAATATGGTAGGGTAATTAAACTTAATTCTGTAAGTTTTAGACGTATTTACAGTTTAAATTTTGTTTCATTTTCTAGTTAATTATGATTTTTACGAGTGCTAATTTACTAATTTATTGTCACTTGATTAACGTGTGAAAATTGTGTGTTTTCTGGGACATTTTGATAAGAAAAATCATCCCAATTTCTGTTCTACTTTCTAAGTCTAAGTACGTATGGTATAATTTTCTTACATCGATGCTAATATATATGCATAATTAAATGTATGTGTGTGCATATGTGTTTAAATTTCATACTTAAATGCTTTAATTCGCGAGAGATTTAGTTAGAATCGGGATTTGTATTTTTGTTGTTATTTGTTATAGAACTCTCCTTTTAGTTTGTGAACAGTTGGTCTGGGATCAGCTGATTTTGAACTTAAATTCTATTTTAAATGCCCTTTAATGTTAATCAGTAGCGTAATTTAGTAATTAATGTTCCTTTTTTGAGTTTGAAGTTTGCGATTTGAAGCATCATTTGTTTTCAAAGCAGTGTCACTAATTGTTAAAAAACTTATCATAGTCTCTCATAGTGATAATATGATACAGCTACTATTCTAATCAATATTGTTGATAGGAGTATTCTTTTTTCATTTTTGTGTGTTTTTTTTAGCCTAAACTCTAAAGGCTTCCTTTAGCTTTATAAAATCTAATTTATTCATCTTTTATTTTAATTTAATTAATTTAATTTATTTTTTTTTATTTAAGATTTATCTTCTATTCTCATTAGGTGATTCTCAATTCAAGTTTAGAAAAAAAAATTAACAAAAATATGTTGGGATCAAGCAACAACAAAATACTGGAAAATCCTTTTGCATCTAACACGAACAACAATAACAATTATTACAACAACATGCATCACGATTCTAACGAGTTACTGAACTCAGATGATGACCAGGCATGCCTGTTAATTAGTGAAGAGGATCAGAATAAAATTCTGTCCCCAGTAAAGTTTATCATAAAAATGAAAAAATCTATTTCACTGAAATCTTTTAGGAATGACTCTTCTCTGGGAGACAGTGTAGTGAAGTTTAACCAGATGAGTTTGTCATGTAATGAAAATAGTGTTGACAATAATGCCATTGCTGCCAACGTTGACAAAGTAACTCTCTCTAATATTAATTACCCTGAAAGTATTTACAGAACAGGAATGTCAAGGCCACTCTGTCAAAAGACTATGAAGATTGCTAAACTGAAAAATAAGAAAAGAAAGTTTAATAAATTTAATAGCATTGCTAACGGGAAGTATGCTAAATTTAAATCCAATGCCAAAAAATCTCAAAAAAATGCTAAAAGGTTTGCTAAAAATGTAAGTAGAATGTTTATCATTTTTTTGGTAATACATTTAAAATAGTATTGTTAAATATTTGATGAGTGTTATTCAGACACACACACACACACACAAATAAACACACTCCTACACAGGCCGGCCGAATTGCCTGGTCAGGGATTAAAAGTGGATTTAAACTTTTCTGGGCCGGTCTACAATCGCTGTCCTCATCGACATCATCACCAATACCCCTTGTGACCTTTGACCTGTCCCAGAATATAGCCAATGTCATTAGAGATATTGGGAGCAATAAGAGGAATAATAATAATAATTATTATTATCATCATAGTAATAGTAGTTGTAAAAGTATTTACAACGACGACGATGATGATGACGATGATGATAATAGTATAAGTAATAATATTAACGAAAATAATATGAATAATATTAATGCGATTGATGTTGATGTTAAACGTACTATTAAAAAGAGCTTGATTAATGATGATAATGACGATGATGGCTGTAGAATTACTTTAGATAGTGATGACGAGACCACCACCACTACTACTGCTACTGCTGCTGCTACTACTACTACTACTAATAATAATAATAAGAAGAAGAAGAAAAAAAAGATAAAGAAGAATAAAAATGATGAAAAGATGAGTAAACGTTAATTAAAAAATGTCGGTAATGTAATGGCGATGACGGTGTATGTGTAGATATGTGTGTGTGTGTGTGTACGTATGTCTGTGTGTGTGTGTGTACGTATGTCTGTGTGTGTGTGTGTACGTATGTCTGTGTGTGTGTGTGTACGTATGTCTGTGTGTGTGTACGTATGTCTGTGTGTGTGTGTGTACGTATGTCTGTGTGTGTGTGTGTGTGTGTACGTATGTCTGTGTGTGTGTGTGTGTACGTATGTCTGTGTGTGTGTGTACGTATGTCTGTGTGTGTGTGTGTGTGTGTGTGTAAGTGTGTATGTATGTTGTATGTATATATGTGTAGGATTGAATGTA